TGTAACTCGATACACCCCATATGAACTCGTGTTTGGAAAACAAAGTCAGTTACCATCAAATGTATCCAATCAAATCGATCCTCTGTATAATTTCGAAGATTATCCTAAAGAGTTGAGGTATCGACTACAGGTAGCATGCGAAGAGGCAAGGAATAATTCAATAATTTCGAAAATTAAAAGGAAGGCATTTCTGGACCAAAAATGCAAAAAATCAATTTCGTATAAAGCAGGAGATAAAGTTTTAGTAAAAAATGAAGTAGAAAACAAATTAGAACAAGTATATAAAGGACCATATACAATATTGGAAGAAAAAGGGACAAATGTTGTTTTAGAAATGGAAAATAGGATTGTAGAAGTACATAAAAATAGAGTTTTTTTTTTTTTTTTTTTTTTTTTTTTTACACTATTCAACAGATACAAGATCCAATTACAGAATAGGAATATACTAAGTGTATTACTAAAATTATTTTCTTAATACATAAAATTACACATTGGAAAAAACAGAACAGTCCAGTTTTTTTAAGGATGCCAAACTGCAGCAAAAGATGTCAATGGTTTCATTCATCGTATTATATATCGAACACATCTTGTAAACAGGTGCATGGAATTTAACATTAGTGCGACAAAGTGGAAGGTAGAAACTATTATTTCTCCGGGTTGTGAGTCTGGGAACATGAAAGTGTATCATCTCCAAAATGCAGCTGCAGTCCAAATTGTTCCGGATAACATTGAAAAGGAATATAACATGCGACCTATTTCGACGATCTTGAAGTGAAGCAACTGGAAATCTTGAAAGAAGTTGATCATGTGGATGACCTACATCTGGGTAGTTGCCATCAAGTTTAAAACATAAGTACTTCAAAAATTTCCGTTGGATATTTTCCAAATTAGATATATGTACCTGATAATGAGGTGCCCAAACTATTGATGCATACTCTGAATTCGATCTAACAAATGTGAAGTATAATTGCAGAAGCATTTTCTCATTTCTTCCAAAATGTTTTGATACTCTAATAATGAATCCCAAAGATCTATACGTTTTTTTGATGACTTGCTCGATATGATTTCCAAACGATAGTTTTTTGTCAAATATTACTCCTAGATCTTGGAAAGTTTCAGGTCGGTTCAAGGCGACATTGTCTAGTTTATAATTGAAAATAATTGGATTCACCTTGGCGGTAAAGGACATAACATGACATTTGGAGACATTAAGGAATAAGTTATTCTCGATGCACCAGGCATTGAGTCTGTTAAGATTGTCTTGTAGAACAGTACAATCCTCTTCGGTGACAATTTCATGATATATCTTAAGATCATCAGCATACAATAGGTGATTGATGGTGAGAGTATCTACAATGTCATTGATGAACATTATGAATAGTAGGGGCCCGAGGTTAGACCCCTGGGGCACACCTGACGTAGGAAGGACTTCAATAGACCTATGACCATGGAAGCTTACATACTGCTTTCTATCAAGAAGGTAAGATTGGAAAAATGATGTGAGATTTGGAGTTAGTCCATAGTTCGAAAGTTTGTGAAGTAGAGTTCCATGGTCCAGCCTATCGAATGCCTTCGAAAAATCCGTATAAATTACATCACATTGAGAGCTATCATCAATGGTATCAGATAACTTCTCTGTGATGCAAACTAAATTTGTGACCGTTGACCTTCCTTTGAAGAAACCATGTTGACTAGGGGTAATTTGATTTCTAACGTGCGAATAGATTTCATCGTAGAGAAGAATTTCAAAAGATTTTGAAAAATTATTAATAATTACTATAGGGCGGTAGTTGCAAATGTCTGATTTAGGCCCCTTCTTATGGACCGGTATAATTTTCGATTCTTTCCATAGTGTAGGAAAAGTATTAGTTGAGAGACATAAATTGAATAACGTACGAAGCGGGTTCACGAAGGCAGCTGCGCAATCACGCAAGACGAAAGATGGGATGTTGTCAGGTCCGCTAGTTAATTTGGGTTTAAGTTTTTTCAATGAGACTAATACTTGCTCTTCAGTCACTTCAGGTATCGTCAAAGAAGGAATATTATTGAATGAATCAGCAAAAGTGGTATTTTTGGGAGTTGCATAAGGATGCTGAAAAAATTGAGCGAAGGCATTAGATATGTCTCGAGACTCAGATAGGATTTGTTGGTTGAAGTTGAAGGTAGACGGTGGGGTTACATTACTTTTTTTGAAATTCATGTAATTCCATAATGCAGAGGGCTTAGTAGTGATGTTTTCTTCTATATAACGAATATGATCACGATGGAGCTTTGCAATGTTGAGCTTGATATCTCTCCTCAGTCTTCTGAATTCAACAAGATCCCTTTCATCACCAGATTTCCTGAATTTTTTCCAAAATTCATGTTTTCGACGTATATCTCTTATTACAGCTGAGTTGTACCAAGGTGGATAACTACGAGTAGTTTTGATCCTTTTTGGGACATTCCTTTCCACAATAGAGTTCACACTATCATAAAAAGCACTGCAAGCGACATTTGCTTCTGTATATTGTTCCAAAAAAGACCAGTCATACTCGAGGAAGTCATTATAAAGATTTGGAAAGTAAGCTTTCCTGAAATTGTGGAATGACGCCTGGAATGATTTATTTGGATTTTTCTTCAGATTATTTCTCAGAGTACAGAAGATATTGATAGGGGGATGATGAGGGTCTTCATTAATTAAAATATCTTGTGCCTTTCCAACAACACAAGGACAATTTGAAAAAACAAGATCTAAAATCCTGTTATTCGCATTTCTTACATTGTTTGATTGCTCGAAGTCCAAGAAAGAGCAGAAGTATTGAAGAGCAAGTGTAGTGGGAGTGAATGTGTTTTTTGAATTATCCTCCAGGTATGTGGGAATATTGAAATCTCCTATAATCAGAGCTTCCGAGTGAAAGAGATATTCCAGTGAGGAAAAGGCTTCAAATATATTATTATAAATTTCAGTGGAATTATTTGGTGGAATATAAATAACAACAACATATATGAGCTGGTGAGAATAGCATATTTTCACACCGACAATGTCAATATGTTGAAGTTCTTTAAATGCTCCTTCTTTTAAATTGAGATTGGTTGCATTCTGCTTGGTCTCAAAACGAATAAGGCTAACGGTCCTGATGGAATTCCACCCATTATCCTCAAAAAATGTGCACCAGAATTAACACCGATTCTCTGCAAGTTGTTTACCATCTCGTACAGGTCGGGTATTTTTCCATCATGCTGGAAGACAGCTAGAGTCCAATCAATCCCCAAAAAAGGGAACAAGAACCTGCCCAACAACTACAGGCCCATTGCCCTGTTATCAGTAATCTCCAAAGTGATGGAGAAAGCCATCAATATTGAGCTCATCAAATATCTGGAGAGCTCAGGAATCATCAATGATAGACGATACGGCTTTCGCCACCGAAGATCTACTGGAGATCTACTTGCCTACGTCACCCATTTATGGCAATCTTCAATAGAAAAACACGGGGAATCTCTAGCTGTCGCGTTGGACATATCGAAAGCATTCGAGCGTGTTTGGCACGAAGGACTCCTCCACAAACTACCATCATACGGCTTACCACCTAAGCTATGCCATCTCTTATCGAGTTTTCTTTCAGGCAGATCGCTTCACGTTGTGGTGGACGGTGTATCGTCTGATACCATTGGCATCAATTCCGGCGTTCCACAAGGATCAATTTTGGCACCAACATTATTCCTGCTTCATATCAATGATCTGTTGGGAGTAACAACTTGCCCCATCCACAGCTTTGCAGATGATAGTACCCTCCATACTGCGTTCTCTTCCAGAATTCCCATTTCTACCCAGGAAACTAAGAACTCACGGCGCAGGCAGGTCAATGCTGTCAATGAAGATCTTGCTGAAATCACAGCCTGGGGAACGAACAACCTAGTTGAATTCAACGCCACCAAAACTCAAGCCTGCATTTTCTCTAGAAAGGCGGAACTCAGTATGCCCGATATTGTAATGTCTGGCTCCACCATCCCCACCAAGCCCACCATATCTATGCTCGGTATTTCCATCAGCAACACTATTTCATGGGATAATCATGTCAGATCCATCGCAAAAGCTGCTTCACAAAAACTCGGATTCTTGTTCCGTGCGAAAAGCTACTTTACACCTCAACAGCTTCTCATGATCTACAAAGCGCAGATACGGCCTGTTCTAGAAGACTGTTCCCACATATGGGGTTCAGCACCAAAACATACGCTGATGCTCTTAGATTCCATCCAGAGAAGAGCTATTCGCCTGGTGGGTGACGCCACACTCACTCACTCTTTGACATCATTGGAACACCGTAGAAAGGTCGGCGACCTTTCACTTTTCTATCGATACTTCCACGGGAAATGTTCTTCGGAAATCTCTGCAATCATCCCTTCACTAGCAATACCAATCAGACGAACTAGACAAGCCCAGTCAGCACATCCTTACGTCGTCAACCTCGAAAGATGTCGAACAGCACTTTATCAAGACTCCTTCATCCATAGAACGGCTAGGCTCTGGAATTCATTGCCTGTGGAAGTATTCCCAACAACATATAATCTCCAAAAATTCAAAAAAAAATCCAATACCTACCTCCTGTTCCTATTCCCCCCTAGGAACGCACGATGTTCTTCGAACATTATAGGGATTCCCTTTCGTGCGCTCCAATCGATAAAAAAAAAAAAAAAAAATTAAACTGAGAGTTTACTGCAAGCATGACTCCTCCGCCCCTAGAAAGGTTCAATGCTCGAAAGTAACGATCGGATCTGAATATGTTGAATGTGCCCTTAGAGATTTCTTCATCCAAAACATTAGACCCCAACCAAGTTTCAGTAAGTACTACTAGGTCATAGCAGAAAGTATTCAGGTTATCGTATAGTTCATGTAATTTGGTATTCAGTCCTCTAACATTTTGGTAGTAAATTGAGATTTCTTTATCATTGGTAGAGTTTGTAGACTGATTTTTCAGAAAAGTGGATTCATTATTAGGTAACGTATCTGAATTTAGTTGCTATTGACAGTTTAGACCCAAATCAAATTTCAATTTATTCAGCACATTTGAGTATGCCTGGCATTTTTGATGGTCCCACGCCCCATGATCTATCGGGAAGTTAGACTTTTTGGATTCATTGAGTTTAACACAGTTGATGCATTTCAAGATATTAGAATCACATGCGTTTTTATCATGACCCCCACCGCAGTTCGGACATGATAAGATTTGTTTACAGCTAGTTTTCGAATGATTGAGACCATTGCATCTGAAACATCGTGAAATTTCAATGGCATCGTAGACCTTGCAGAGGTCTAGACCGATTAATAAGTAATCATTATTGGGAACAGCGGAATATGTTGACGAATCCAGTTGAAGGGTGACCTGATATACATTTACATTAGATTTTGTTGGACCGAATTTGACTATCATACAGTTCGAATTAGAGCCTATAATTTCGTCATTTTGTTTCAATATGAGTTTTAAAAGTGTATCATGATCAGAATTATCTGAAATTCCAACAATACGAACACGGGGGTGTAATCCTCTTGACTCCTTAATTTCATAAGTTGCAGACAGTTTCTCCTGAGCCTTTTCTTTAAAGAGAGTAGTTTCCTCTTGAGTTTCACAGCTTATCATCAGTCCACCATCTTTAATATGTTTCACCTTGCTAAAGCTGAAGTTTGAGTCCTGCGTATTCAAATAATGCATGATATCAGATTTTGTTTGATTGTTTTCTTGCGATACTTTGGGTTTGACAAGTATTGCAGAGTGAGAGCTATTGCTGAGCACAGATGAGTACGATGATTTCATATTTGGTTTTGACGAGGGTTTTGATGTATTTTTCAGATTCGAGATATTTTCATCGGCTTTTTTCCTAATATCTATATCTAGAGTTGAAAGATTTTCATCTGCTTTTTTCAAGCTGTCTGTCTTTATATCATAAAAGAGGTTCTTCAGTTCGTCAATAAATTGACTCACCTTGTTTTGAAAAATATCACGGAGTCTTCCTTCATCGAAGAGATCATTGAACTTCTCACAGTTTTTGCATTTCCAAAAAACGCCAGGTGTCTTTTTCATCTGAGCAAGTAAATCTACAGATATTCCCACACATTCGGAATGGAACTTATTCTTGCAAAAACCACTACAAGAAAAGAGTTAAGTATTATAACGAATAATAAATTGTATATGTTCAAATAGGTAGGTCTTAGTTATAAGAAAGAAAAAATATATACGAAAGAAACAAAAAACATTTTTTTTAGGAAAATCTTTTTTTTTCTGTGACGGGAAAAAAGTTTGGCATTTCATCTCTGTTGGCAGGTTATAAAATGTCACTTTTCATAAATTACTTTTTTCCCGTGGGAAAAAAGTGAGTACTTCTTTCCCGGATATATATCACATATATATACTCTGTTAATGGCTTTTGTTGTGCTATAGTTCCGAAAAATAAGTCAATAATACCGTCTCCGAGAAAGAACCTGCAAGTCCTTTTATCTTCCATTCGACTTCGCGGTTTCGTATATTACTAAACAACTACTGAATTCGCAATTTTTTAAAATCAAATCACAGAATTGAACTGACAGAAGTGACATCAGATATTTGATTACTTCAAAAGAATGATAAAGATGCCTATAAAACGCAGGTGTCCTTACTGTTGAAAACTTGAAATTTCACGTCGATAATTTTCAGATTTCGAAATAATGTAATATCTTCCCAATATTGATTCGTCCTTCCTTCTGTCACAGAAAAAAATAGTGTATTATACACGGGAAAAATATTAGATTTTAGCTCACGGTTTTTTGTCTCCCTCCGCTACGCGTCGGGAGACAACACAACCTGGAGCTAAAATCTACTACTTTTTTCCCTTGTATAATAAATAACTATTTTTTCCTCATTATCGGGGAAGGTGTAGTGGATGATGATTTGAATGTATAACAAAATAAATTATTAAACAATAAAGTAGAACCTTCAGAATCATCAACACAACTTCCCAAGGTGATTATTGTTATTAGATCTTATTTTATAATATTAGCAATGTAAACATATTAATTAGGACACATAGGTAGGCAGAGTAAAGATCAATCGTTTAGAAGGATATACTAATAAGACATGAATGAGAACACTGCTATGTATTGCATGAATGATGTGAATTAAAGAGTTCTTATTTGGCTAATATAATACTTACTCGATGATACATTGTTGGGAGAGCCTGAGTTATTACACTACCATTGCTCGCCAGACAAAAAGCTGTGGTGCCTTGTTAGCCCTCATGAATATTTTTTCTCAAATTGAATTACCATGTTATTTTTCAAAATTTCATAAGTTGGCTATACAAGGTTCCATAGTCTTTCCCCAGCTATATCAGCTGTTGGGGACACAGTGGCGCTCATGATTTCATCTGTTCTATTTGATTTTTGACTATAATTCGAAGAGAATAGTTTGTTCCAGTTGTTGAAAATTAGGTGGAAACGACGTGCTCATGACCATTGCTTACTGACTGAGCTACCGTCCGCAGTATGGTACATTGTCAAAAATATGCTACATGTTCAGAATCAAGATTTCTTCAACACGACTCACATGTTTCAATCTCAACTTCTGATTCACTATCTACTGACATTCCCTTGGATCATTTATACAGGATGATCAGGATTTCGAATCTTGGAAAACTCTCTTTTTGTTTCAATTGAATGTCAGTGGAAAGTATATCATAAGATGGGATTGGACTTGTGAGCCATTATGATCAATAATGAGTAGTTTCGACATGAAAAATCCAAGATTTTGAAATGAATATCTCTGTTATCGTTTTCGTTGGATCCAAAATGAGATGAATTGATGAAATTGGATCTTCAGAGAAAAAATGGAGATGCAATAATTTACAGGGTGTTCTATTCGAAGTAATGTAGGATATGTCACATTTGGTGCAACCAGAAATGTCGCTATCTTGAAGAAAGATCGATCGAAAAGGACTCGATCGATAACTCCTGCATACAAATTTCCAGATCAGTATCATTCTTAGACCTACAAATACGTCTAATGTTCGGTTTGAACTAAACAGCCTCTAGGGGTATTTTTTGATGACAATATCAAATGTTAGTTAGTTTGTCTCTTTCGTGAGGTGGCGCCACCTACATGTCTTTAAAATCTATTGAAAAGTCATAACTTTTTTTGCGTACCTGTATAACGTTCCAAAGTGGAATAATAGTTATCTAGAACACTTCTGCGTAAGAAATATCTTCCTGATTATAGGTCACTGCGAGCAACTGTTTTCGAGTTATTTAGATTCAAAATAATCGGAGCATTTGAATTATTTCCATGTGGCTCGTAAGTCTTCCACTCAATATTCTCAGCTATTCAAGATTGGAATGAAGGCAAAATATGATTCTTCCTTTTTTGTACCTACTTTTTCGGATTCTTCCAATTTAAAGAAATCACAATCAAGTTAGTACTTGTCATGTTATCTCAATCCGTTCTTGTTTCAGTGAAGTTTTTTGTCTTCAACTAACTGTTGGAGTATCAATTTTGATTGGATTTCTGTTATCATTATTAGTATTGAATTGTAAAAACACCCGATTCCTATTTTTCAATGAAATTAAAGAGAAATAATTCACCTTACCTAATGAATCACGGCGCAGGCAGGTCCACGGCGCAGGCAGGTCAATGCTGTCAATGAAGATCTTGCTGAAATCACAGCCTGGTGAACAAACAACCTAGTTGAATTCAACGCCACCAAAACTCAAGCCTGCATTTACTCTAGACAGGCGGAACTCAGTATGCCCGATATTGTAATGTCTGGCTTCACCATCCCCACCAAGCCCACCATATCTATGCTTGGTATTTCCATCAGCAACACTCTTTCATGAGATAATCATGTCAGATTCATCGCAAAAGCTGCTTCACAAAAACTCGGATTCTTGTTCCGTGCGAAAAGCTACTTTACACCTCAACAGCTTCTCATGATCTACAAAGCGCAGATACGGCCTGTTCTAGAATACTGTTCCCACATATGAGGTTCAGCACCAAAACATACGCTGATGCTCTTAGATTCCATCCAGAGGAGAGCCATACGCCTGGTGGGTGACGCCACACTCACTCACTCTTTGACATCATTGGAACACCGTAGAAAGGTCGACGACCTTTCACTTTTTTATCGATACTTCTACGGGAAATGTTCTTCGGAAATCTCTGCTATCATCCCTTCACTGGCAATACCAATCAGACGAACTAGACAAGCCCAGTCAGCACATCCTCTCGTTGTCAACCTCGAAAGATGTCGAACAGCACTTTATCAAGACTCCTTCTTCCATAGAACGGCTAGGCTCTGGAATTCATTGCCTGTGGAAGTATTTCCAACAACATATAATCTCCAAAAGTTCAAAAACAAATCCAATACCTACCTCCTGTCCCTATCCTCCCTAGGAACGCACGATGTTCTCTGAACATTATAGGGATTCCTTTTCGTGCGCTCCAAGCGATTAAAAAAAATCATTTTGAATTCCAACTTCTTGTCATTCCAAATTACTTGCATTGATTATTTAAAATGTCAATAACTCGAAAACAGTTTCTCACAGCGACCTCTACCAAGGATATATTTTTTACACAAAAGTGTTCCAGAAATCTTTTCTTTTGCTACAGAAAGTTATACAGGTACGCACAAAAAAAGTTATGACTTTCCAAAATACCTTAAAGACATGTAGGTAGCGCCACCCCACGAAAGAGAAGAACTGTCATAAAATTCAAATTTGTCATTGAAAAATACTCCTAGGTACCAAATGCCATTCCATTATCACAATTATTACAGAGTTCATTACCAGAAAACAAATATAAGGATTTAACTTTGACAATCCGTATCTCAGAAACGCATTTCTTTCGGACATATGTTCATGATAACTTTTCTTCTTATTTCGACGTCAGCAACATGCGCCTGGATTTTCTGAACGTATATAAGAAACATCCTGTATATAATTATATTTGAATAGTGATGTCAATGAATCTCTCTGGATCCGTTTCTGTATTCACGTTTTTTATACATTCACAGGTATTTATTTCTGCATTGTTCAAATGAAATATATTGAGATAAGAAGATATGACACGATCGAGTGATGACGCTAGTCAGCCTTGAATAACTCGTTGACTTCTATTTTAATTATCCGCAATATGATTTGTTGTCCTTTATGATGATTGTTGTGTGAACTTGTGTGTGGAACAACGTGTAGGATGCTGTAGCATTATTTGGTATACAAAACAAATTATTATTCGGATATATTCGTATCACGCTTATCATGCATTGAATGGCACGCTTCCATGTTGATAAAACATGAATAAAATACTTACAGGATTTTCAAAGAAGAGGAAAAATTACAAGTTTTTCAACTTGCATGCATGTCACTTGATTATTTGGGATTTTTTCTTTTCGTTTTCATAAAATAAAAATATGAGTATTATTCCATTTATAATACCACAAGTGATAATATGTTACCGGAAATATTCGGCGATTGTTACGACAGCTTGTTGCCTAGTAATTTCGTGAATGACATTGTTATCAGAACTACGAGCCGTAGGCGAGTAGTTTTGGATCAATGTCATGAGCAAGCTGGAGTATGTCAATCGACGAATATTTCCAGGAAAAATAGTATCACGAGTTGTATTCGTATACCTATTTCATGATTGAATGGGACAATATATATAAGAAATAGGAAACATAATTCAAGTATATTCCAACTCGAACTGCGGAGAAGAACATAATGATAGTAATAAAATACAGAATTTACTTTTTTAGAAATTAAGTACCTACTTATAGTTATTCACAAAGTGGAATGTACAATTTTGATGAACAGTATTTTTTTCATTATGTTGGAGATGGTTGCTCTCAAAAGAGTGTATACAACTACTATCCAATTCAAACAAAATAAATCGAATTCATGTGACATGGAATGAAAAAAAAAAAGATATCGTCGCCGAGGGCTCGAACCATCGACCTTCGTATCCTTGCGCAACTACCCTAACAGTTGCGCTACATCAGTTAGTAATTATATCAGTCAGTCACAATAACTTGAGTAATTGGAGAAGATTACTTCAAAAAA